GATTACACTTAGGCTATATTATTAACTCATTATATCCTCCTCCAATATTATTGTCTTAACAAAACCCCTTCCCTTCCCTTAGTTGTCTTGCCTGAGAACCAACCTTAACCCTTTAGGACTAGCTACCCTTATGGATTTAATAGTCTTGTACCTATACGTAGATACCAAACGTAGTATATTAATCTAGCCTACCTAGGCCTTAGACATCTTGCTCATTACTCTTATAACATTATGTTGGATCATACTGACCAACCAACATGACTAGTTTAGCAGACCCGACCCTAATAATATAGGTAATAATAGAATAGATTAACATGCTATAGGAGACCTTTTAGTAAGCTTAGTAGGCTTAATAGGAAGCCTTCTGTTATAAGGGGTTTCCACGTACCTAACCGTAGGTTCGGACCTTGCGGGTATTCAGTGATTCGAGGGTGAGGGATGGCGGTACCAAAGAGGTTAGGTGAATATCCTACACCATACGATAGTACGATGCAACAAATATTAGGAGAAGGCTAATGGTTCATATAAAGACGAGTGGCTTCAATTTAGATATGAAAGTAAGCTTTCGAAGTTGACTACGAAGAATAGGAAATGTCCAAAGAGTGTCCTACACTATATACTATTCATCCTATTCTTCTATCTCCCAGAATAACGTCGTTATCCCGGAGGAATCGCTCCTTGGTAGGAGAACCTTCTATTCTCCCACCAAGGAGTAGTTCTCCGGGGAGAACCTCTTCTTAGTGGGGAAATTGTCACGTAACGTCGGTCCTTGGCAATCCCAATGCCTACAGCCCATCCTCTGGCCTGCGTTGTTGGTCTTCTCGTCCATTGCGTCGTTACTTATTAATCCCTTATCGGTATCCTATGTGCTTGTAACACCTTCTAGTAGTCTCTCTAATAGATGTAGGATTAGTATTAAGCTAATATAGAGGCTCTATACAAGGAGCTTATTACGCCTAAGAAGTCTATTCGCTTTACTAATTCCCCTATATTGACCCCAGCTAAGGAGTCGTTAGAGCCCTCTATAATGCCATCTAGCAATGGCTTAATAACTATAAAGATGGTGCACCTAAGTGACTAACTACCTAACCTACCTATATTTACTAGTAAGAGGAAGGACCTACCTCTATTTATCTCTTAATTACGCATAAAGCTAGAGGGCAATACTAACTAATACCTAACTAAACGCGCTAAGTTAATATACGTATATTCGCAACTTAATTATAACCTTATAATACTTATAGATCTACTAATAGGATTTAATATAGCTATTATAGAGAAGCTAATTACCTTCCTCTATACTATATATAATAATCTAAATAGAATACTATCTACCTATATAATGCTGGGGATGCCAACGTTCTAGTGGGCTGAGGTACCAGGTTAAGTCTTCCGATGGCAACGAACTCTTCGTTATCACCAGCTCCATGTCGTAGCGAATAAAACTAGCAACTTAACACTGGTTAACAGTCGCTACATGCATTTGAAGGTCGACCTGATGGTAATGACTGGTTCGGCAAACCTATGCGTGGACAAGCTTCTTGTAAATCATCTAAACCTTAGTGAATAAAGCGTGCTTACGTTTCGCAGCTCCCCATGGCCGACTTTGAGAATATTGCACTGCCCTTGACTTCTGAGAATAATATAGATATTCGCCAGTTCCTTTGAGAGAGATCTAGTCTCCAGCGTAGTGCTTCGTTGGAGCCGAACTCTGGCCCATCGTCGTTTGTGCCCATCAACCGAACTTCTAGGTATCCAAAAGTTCTGGATCTAGAGTTGGACATGAAGCAGATGCGATCAATGGATCATGGATCTATGATGCGAGCCTTGTCCGCGGAGCCACCCCAGCAATTGCGACGTTGCAAGAAGCCGTTTCAGTATCACTCTGGTAATTGCGGGCCACTCGACTTTGTTGAGCAACTCCGTGCCTACGCGGACCGCAAGAGTCCATCCGGCCCACAAGCTCAGAAACAAATCCACCTACCATCTGCAACCAGCGCGGTAGCCTCTCAGAACGAGCCAGCAGACCCTCCTGGTGTACCTGCTGCTCCCCCGCAGACAACCGATCATGAAATGGACGCCCTCTTCGCAGCCTACATTGAGTATCCAGAGATCCCGACCGAGAATACTCGTCCCGAGTCAAGCAAGCGTTCCCAAACTTTGCGTGAGCCTTCGAAGCGCCGCCGCACAACTGACGGTCCCCAACACACCAAGTCCTCGCTCCTTCCCCTCGAGCGCGTTCCCGATAAGTGCCGCATCCACAACATCCTTCTTCGCCTGCCTCTACGTATCACGAGCATCAAAGCAGCCATGCTGAAGCTCGACATGCGGACGAATTGCATCGAGTGGGGATACCCTCTCGATGCATCTCCGTATGACGGTCTCGGGATGAGCATCACGGATGTCTTGCTGAGGGCGTATGTATTACGGATTGATGGCATGCTGGAGAGCTTCGAGACCGGGCTGGATAGGGAGGACGTGCTTCGAGCAATGGAGTCGGGTATTAGGCGGGCGTTTAGCGAGAGGGTAGATGGCGATGATGACGTGGGACAGATGGAGGGCTGGATCGGAGAGGGTATCGGAAGTACTGAAGCAGGCATGGACTTCTGTGATGGAGAGTTTGGAGCTGTTCTCCCCGAACGTAGCTCTGTGTCTGCCTCGGAGTTGACGATCACGCATCCCATGTGTTCTGACCGCGATGACGACGGCGACTTCGGGGACGGCTTGGACGACGAAAGTCTCATGGATTTCTGAGCGATTCGGCACTTTCAGGGCATATAGATGTCGCTCATGTTTTTAAACAATTAGCATTGTGCAAAGAAGTGGACGTCCTCCCATAAGACCACACATGATCGTCTTGTAGCAGTATCTTCTCGTGACCGTCCAACTCCTATCTCTTAGATTCAAGTACTCTCCTAATCCATGCGCACATCCCGTGCTCTATCAGCTAGCTAGCGACTCGTCCATATTGCTTTGACCGTGATGGACTGGTTCGTGTTCACGGGAGATGATTCCAATACATATCCGCGCGATGATGTCGATACGGGTAGGAGGTCCTTCCGTATGGGCTGGGGATCACTTCGAGATGCCTGTGGCAGAGGTCTGCACGTACCTGAGGGCGTGGAATTGTTCAAACTGGATGTCACGTAGCGGTGAGGGCGGGCTGCATGGTGAGGCCGATATCGCGAGTTCTCAGGAGTGTGTTTATGCTGCTTAGGAGTAACGGAGAAGCATACTATAAGCTTAAGTTATGGTAGGGGGTTTCAGGTTGCGTTGGGGCGAGGGGGGGTGTGGTTGGCGGGCGGATCTTGGTAGTTTTCCAGGCGGGTGTTTGCGGTGGAGAATTCTCCGGGAAGGCTGGGTAGGGTGTTTGTCTGTGAGGTTTATGTATGTTTTCAAAGTGTGTGTCAAAGTGAGTGTTTTGGGGAGGGAGGTTAAGATGGGGATGGGAAAAGGTGAGGTTTAGAGGTGTGGGTTGGAGATGTGTGACAATTGCTGTGAAGATCTGGGCACTGGGCTCGATGACTAGAGAAACTTCTGGTAGCCCTTGGTCCTTTGTGCTGCGACCTCTCAGCTTTTCTCCACGAAGTATAGGTCATTGGTATGCAGAACCTACTTCATAAAAAAATAAGCCACGTAATGTATACAGGACGTTCCGGAAATACTTTTCTACTCACTTTCCACCTTTTTACGGTAGACCCTCCCTAGATCTACCTTCTATGTAGCCTCTATTCTTCATTATGCATTATTCAGTGCACTAACCAAAGAGCATCAATCTTAAAGTCTAGATTGAGGGAATGCATCTTGAAAAAATTGTGCATTACTAGGTAACTTGAGTTTCTCTTAAGGACTCATACAGGCAAGATGATCGAATGATCACGTAGTTGATCAATATTACGAGGGTGCTTGGCTAACAGAATATGTATTGGAAAATAGCAACAAGACTATACAAGACAGTCGGACTATCCAGCGATCGGATCCATCTATAACAACCTTTCTAACCCAAAGAATAGAAACAACACTGTAAGTATGACTCTATGCAGTCCGCGGACATCTAAGAAAGATGTCACAGTTACAATAGAAACACAAGATAACTATGAGTACATTAGTTGTCGCAAAGGACAGTTGATGGGGGCACGAACCATCGATGTATATGTATGCGAGCCAGTTGAAACGTTGCAAACACAATTGAGGGTTCCTTCCAGTTAGACATGTATCTCTGGGAGTCAATCATCCCCTGTATTCTATTACCAAGGCTTTCGCCACGGCTTGCTCTTCTCTTTCTTCCACGCAGCCTCAAGCGCCCGAATCTCCTGAAAAAAATCCTTTTCTTGCGCAGCCTTGGTGTTAGGGCTCGGGCTCGGGTTCTTTTTGGGAGCTGGTTTAGAACCACCTTTACGAGTTCTGGCACGCTTCACGACAGCCTTGCCTTTTCCCTTTGAGCTACCTATTCCGGGACTCTGGCTGCCGGTCCTACCTCTTCCGGGACTCGGACTGTTACTTCTACTTCCAGCAGAAGGGCTCCAAGTTTTGACGAGCAGTGCAATGTATTTGTCCATATCAGCTGTCGTTCTTTGATTCGCAAGCTTGAAACGCTCGTCCATGTATTCCGTCCATAATGGACCGAGGTTTTGTTTGACCCAGGCTGGCTTTTTCGGTGACGAGTGTTGGGGAAGAGTAGCGTCGATCTTTCGAATGGTCTTCTCCATTTCTTTCACCTCTCTTGAAAGCGTTATGGCAATCTTGCTGCTTCTCATGTACTTTCGCGCCGCCATTAGGGCTCTCAAGTCTAGATACGCCAACTTTGCTTGGTCTATAGACTTGGGTGTCGTCTTCTTGTTCGTGGTCTTGCCCATGATCTTTTCTGTGATGCTATCAGCGGCAAATATGCCTGCTGTCTGGCTCCCAAACTTGTAAGCCCACATCTGCGGGGAGTTTTGTTAGCGCCGGTATTGCTCATGAGGGCAGACTTACCTGGGCTTTCAATCTGTTAGGCACCTTATGCAAGAAGGCAAAGTCTTTTGGGCGATTGTCCAGTCCCGGGAATCCCCACTTCAGATGATCCTTAACTGTCCTTTCCGGACCGTCATTTGTCAAAGAGAACGATACTTGGCTGCCTCCAAACCAGCTTTCCTTGAAGTATCTGCAGATATTAGAGTCCGCCGGTAAGTTGGTCACCTGGAACGAAGTTCCCGTGATCTTTTTGTCTCTCACCCAGCTAAAGAAATCAGCCACCGTCTGCCATTCCAGCACATGCTCGACTTGATAATCTTCGGGATTCTTCACTTTCGCTTTCAGCATTCCACTCTGTACGAATGCGAAATTGGTGCAAATCTCCGGTCTGGCGTAGCCAAAGTACCTCGCGGCAGGAGTCTTTACAAGTGACTATCAGTGAATGGACCAAACACATGTTTTATAGGGTAGGAATGCACTGACCATAGCATCCATATCCTCTTTGTCTGGGTAGTTCAAAGCTTTAATGCGGAACCTGGAGGGATTTGCGGCTCGACCTTTAATTTGGCATGCATAAACCTGCTTTGGACTGGATCGCTTCTCGAAAGCAACACTGTCCCGTGAAACTTTCTCGGTAGTACGTTCAGCAATAGCGTATTCGCGAAGCTGCTGCTGATAGAGCTGTTTACAAGTCTTCGTGGGCGTAGCCTTCGCTGCTGCTGACGATTTGGTCGATTTGCTGGGTCGGGTTGGCTTCGTTTTCTTTCGTGCCGGAGTGGGCTTTGCTTTGGCCTTGGGTTTGGGCTTGGACTTGGGCCTGGACTTGGTAGCTTTCGGTCTCGGTCGCCTGGTTCTTCCGCCTCCCCTGCCTCTTGCCATGAGGTCGACGTGCTCGTTCTCGGATTTCTCGTATCCTTGAGGCTGGTACAAGAGCTCATATGTTATGTCATCCTGGAATTGAACAGCTCCACCTGTGCAAGTTTGACCGTCACAACATTCAGAAACAATCTCGCGCAATGCCCCTATACAAGAGTCCACCGAGTGTTCAGTTGTATTCCCGGATACATTGATCGTGACATCAATATCATCGAGGCGAAGAGAGCGAGTTTTTGGAGGGACAAAGTCTCTTTGACAGATGTTCGAAATGCTGTTTTCGACAGTGACTTGAGAAGGGCCACGCTGAGAAGAATACTCTTCCATGAGACTTTGTCGATTACAGATGGCTTGTGTCGCGCTGACATGGACTGTAATCTGCTGTAATACAGCGAGGACTAACAGGTCTTTCTTTCGCATGTTGAAGACAAGATTGAGATACCAGAATAGCCACTTTGGTCAACGCGAAAAAGGGGTGACGAAGGCTGAAAAAGAAGTATAAAACTGGAAGGACAGTGTGAAGGTGAAAGGTAGGTAGTAATGTGAGCTGACGTACTGCCATCTTGTTCATTCTCTTATAGATGCCCGTCGCGCGTACTTTGAAGTAGATGCTACCTTGCCGCCCGGGTGCATGAGTGGCGTTCGTTGTCGCGGTGCTTCTCTCCGCCCTGCGATACAAGTCCGATATTCCGATCACAACGTCAGCACGCCTTGACGTTACAAACGAACAGACAATGTTTCCTGAACTAGTTTGCGGCAGTACATCTTCTCGCCCACACTACTATTGAGAGCTTGTGAAAAGGCGCAATTGAGAAGGCTTTTCTAATTTGAATGCCCTATCGGATTATGATATTGGTGAGTTAAAGAAGAGAAGAACCCAAGACAGACCCATGCGTCAAGGCGTTGTCATGGGATGGATCACAAGTCGGGTAAGCGTCTAAGACATGTACAGTGATGGCACTGCCCATGCAAGAAGCGAAGACACATCTGATCAGCACCTCACCAGGGACGCGTTCGTGCGCTCGGGATTATCGAAGAGTGAGACCTGGAAACTAGTTCCGGTCTTCGGTATGTACAGAGCATCATTCGGAATTGGATATCTAGATTTGGATAGTAAGTAGTGCCCTGACTGATGTCGTCAAGGCTCGGTCTGCCTTCATATTACCTGCGTTGAAGCGAGGCGCGTAATCTCGGGATTCGAAATCAGGTACCCTTTCTATCATGTCCTGAATGCAAAGTGGCTTCTAGATGTGTATGCAAAGTGCCTTGTCTAGATGTGCATACGTGCGATTGTAGAGAGGCTTATCATGTTCTGTGTCGGAGAGCATATATGTGGTGCTTTGATTGCTCAGCCAAATGTCATTTAAGCGCTGCATACTACGATGCCCCTCATTTAGGATCATCGCTGTTGGCTCCTCGTGATACCGTAACGAAGTGTGTTGCTGTGCCGCCTGCGCCCTGCGGCAGAGTAACACCTTCATGTTGTGTACTTTGGGGGCTCAAAATCACGATTCTGGTTGGTGTTCTTGCGCATACTCCTTTTCCCTGCGCCTGCGCCGCGCTATTCTATTACAGGGTACCTACCAGCTCGCTTATAATACAATAATACTTTAAAAGCAGGTGACATGTCTACTTCCGCCGCTCTGAACGCACATTATACCCCAACTTGATGCCTGATTTGCCCCACGCCATCCACTGCATCATAGGTATGTTTGTCCTATCATTCATGCTAGCTATTCTAAAATTCGTGCAGCCTTGTCGGAACAACTTGTCGAGATCACATCGCGTACGAAGATCTGTGCGCCATCCCGTATACCCTCAGTATTTTACCACATCAGCTTGATCGAACCATATTGCGGTGATTCTTGACCGGAAGACCTTTCCCTACCCGGGCAAATTACTTGTGCTCTGCGCTACCTAGGTATACGGTGATCAGAGATGAACTCCTTACCACAAGAGCTGGTTGATAAGATTGCTAGCTTTCTTGATCGAAGAGATCTTGGAGCTATCGTCCTACTTTCCCGCAAACTACGATATGCCGCTGAGTATCACTCGGGTGCTTTCGCAGAAGCCAGGCTGAAAGCTGACTCTGCGGTAATACGCAAGTTCTCGTCTATTTACTGCGGCCATCGATCCTCTTATCTGCGTGTCATTGTCTTGGATACATCCGTTCCTGGTGTTTACGACGAAAACATAGAATATCCGGAACAAGACTGCCGCGACACAGAGAAGGATGTCCAGACCATGACCGAGGCGTTCTCTCAGGAGATGAGTATGTTGTTCAGTGCAATCAGTGCGCTTGAAAAGCATACGCATGATTTGGGAAAGATTCATGTCATCATCCACACGCCGACGCGGTACGTGTGTGATGGTGAATGCTTTCACAGAAAGTTTCCGGGTTGGCGCGTGCGTATGCTCTCGCCATCTTCGAGACTTCCCCAACTCTCGAGCGTATGCTCACTCGAAGTTGCCAGTTGTGGTTCCACCTATCATCCCGAGCCCGAGAAACTCTTCGAATGCCATATCGAGTACCGTACCATTTTAGACATCGCCCGGAGATGCCCCAACCTAGACACACTCAAGTGCAGACTTGGTGGTTCTGAGTGGATGGGAAATTTTAAGTCGCAAACATTGAATGAAAGCTGCCAAGATTGGGCCGGGCCTCGCAGAGACTCTCGACATGGCTTTGAAAACGCAGTTCGAGGTATCCATAAAGCGCTGCCTCGACTGCGTCGCGTGGACCTAGACTTCTTATTTCCACTCGAATGGATGGAAGCCTTCCCTGAACGTAGCACTCTACCGAATTTGGTGCACCCGGCGCCCTACGACCCATTCAGCTCCAGCCTTAGGATTCTATCGCATCATCTCCGCACAATGCATTTACGCGTCATCGCTGATGATACGTTGTTCTGGCCGACCGAAAATGACAATACCAGTACCTGGCCGAATATGGAAAGCATGAATATCATGTTTTGCAACTCTCACCCGTCTGGCCTGTGGTACATTAGTGGTCAACCCAGTACTACGCCAGGCTATGAGATCACGCCTGAGCACTACCCACCATTGATAAAAACAGATCGCGACCGCGAGAATGATGAGGATGACGACGCTATCTACGACTGGGACTCGGGCGATGCGTCTCACATATCTCACACTCGCGTATTCCCCCAGGAACCTGCACTGACGCGGTTCCTGCGAGCATTCGCAAAGGCAGCTGGAAGTATGCCAAAACTGAAAGATTTTGTTTTTTGGACTCCCATCAAAGTCCATGCCGATGATCTCGAGGAAAATTTTCCTGCGCTAGATCCTTTGAGCATATCAAGACATGCTAGGTCAGTCTCCATCGCTGAACTAGCTTGGGGAATCGCATACACTGCCCCTGGAATAGACTTCCCCAGCAGATGGGAAAAGTCAGTTGATACCTCCGTACGAAATCTTTGGTGGAAGGTGGGAGACTGGCGGCCGGAGGCTGAACTGGCCGAACTTTTCCACAAGATCGGATTAGAGGAGCATAGAGGGCAAATGAGTGAGCACTGGAACGATGTCGAGAATCAGGACAATGGACTGGACTATCGGGATATTTTCGAGCGCTGGGGATTTGAACCTTGGTCCAGAACATTTGGCTGTCTGGTGTGCGGCGGGTAGGGGAATGGACCTTCAATCGATTATTTGGAAGATAAGAATCAGTCGAGCTAGAGGGTATATGGGCAGGTATGATGTATTGGTGGTTGGAGTCGCAAAACCTGGATTTGGAATGAGCGATTTTGCACGAAGAGGGTCGACGGCACAAGGCTGAGTTGAGGATGGGAGGCTGCCACGTCCGCCTGCGCCAAAACGCCCCACAGCGTTGCCGAAGTCGTGCTGAGCTTGCTACTGGACCTTGATGAAGCAATTTGAGGGTTGCACACGAATCGCATTGGCCTGCTCAGTATTGAAAGCTATGTTCTTGAAAGTGTCCCAGCCACCCTCGCGCGTTTGAACAGGGAGTGTTGCTCGTGATTGGGGCGCGTAATGGTAGCACACCACCCGGCACTGCAGAAAGCCCTTCGAGTTGACCGGTTTTCTCGTAAGCAGAGCTACTTTAAATCCTCCGAGGACCGGTCTGACGTCGCATAAGGTCTTCGTTCTCGCTGCGTACGTTCCCAAGGTGCCTATACGCCTTTTCCAGTACTTCTAGGGATTGTTTTCTAGCATCGAGTGCTGTATGCGATGAATAAAAAAGGGTTCCTCAAAGGACCTGGAGAGCACCTCGAGGCCTGGAAGAATAAGCGCGGGAAAAAGTTTGAGTCGAAAAGTCCACAACACGATGAAGCTCGAATGCCGGTCCAAGGGGTGACAGTGGGTGACGGACAGCAAACACAGCACTATCCTCATACACATGCCGAAGATCAAGGAGGTGGAAGTTTGCTGCGGCATGAAGATGATGGAGAGGACCCATTGATAGGTGTCGTTAGTGTCGCGCGGCGTAATGAGGCCACTTCTGGTGTCAATGATGCAGCCACATCCCCAGGCAATGCACAGCCAGCAGACACGTCGTTACATGCAGAGCCTTCAGTGAGTCATAATTATTCCAAAACTCCTATTTGGAGTGGTTCATTGGAAGAATGGAGCAAGAAGAGCCCTGAAGTGTATCAAGCTTTGGGTGATGAAGCAAGTGGCGCGCTTGACAACCCTAGCAATGTCATCGGCGTATTGAGCGGCATCCTTTGGGAACTGTGCGAACTGAAGAGTAGAGACACAGTCAGGGCCAAGCTGAGGAAATACCTGTCAAGATGGGCGATGAAGACAGTGGTCATGTGACTGATGCTGCATGACTAATTAGCGTCAGTACTTAGTCTTAGTCTCACCTTGACAATACGATAACTTTAACAGTTGATACAGGAAGGTGAGGACGAAGCGCGGCGGGCTAGGAATGAAACGTGGACTCGACGGAACTTCATTGGCCGGAAGGGACAGAAGTAGTTTAGGCAGCCTACGGGCCGAAATGCACCCGAGTGGCGTAAGAATAAACCAAACCAAACCAAACCAAACCACGATAACTAATAAACCAAACCAAACCAAACGATAACTCTTACACCACCAAAGTTTGACATATGTTACGATGGTGCATGAATTCAAAACCTCCGTCGCAGAGAGTGCTGACAGTTGGCGTCCTTATCTGGAACCTCACATAGCACAATTCCATCTGACGGTGATAACAATTGCGATAGTATAGCGCGGAGTGATATTGAAGGAGCAATGATTTCATATGCGCGGCTTTCCAGGCCTGAAGCTCGGTTAGGGGCATCCAATATTATTTTTCCAGCTAAACGCGGTCAGCGTTATCCCCATTCACATCTGCTTCGGTGTTCCCTTCACGCCTTTGTTCAACATGGTGCGAACCATTGCCCGAAAAGATGATCTGGTGCGTCATCCCTGGCATCTTGCGCGATTCCAGTGGAGTACTCTGCTGGGAATGGATCATGGTATATGAAGACATGACTAGTTAGATGCTCAAGAGATTCGTTTCCGTTCACATTCAATCATTCTCTGCATGTGTCGTCGTGTATTCACTATCAAATTTCCTTCTATCGATAGATGTACCAAACATGCGGATGTTCCTAGGTCTCTTCATCGGAGTCTCACACAGATATCTTAAACATCAACGTAAGCTGCCAACACCTTGTCCGGATCACAGCCTCACCGGGCCAATCTAGTTCCTCTTCCTGGCACTCCAAGCCCGAACTTTGGCCACGAAGAACTCTAGAGGTTGCAAAACGACTTCTGGGCAAGGTTTTAAAACCCGCCAACGTCGAGGAGGCACGATCTGTTAACTCGACCTTATTCTCAGTCAACGTATGCCCTACAATATTTCCTTATAACTGTTTCACTGATGATCTATAGGTGCAAGGCCGTGTCTCCGATAGCCGTACATTCAATAGCGCTGAACTCAACACCGAGTATATATTCAGCCTTTGTACTCCTTCATCAACCTTTAGCTTGTTCGGGCAGCCCACATCCTACGAAATCCTTCATTTCGCCGCCAATTAAAATATCGCAAGCTCGACAACAAGAGTGAACTTCTCATTTGTAAGCTTCTATAATACATCGGTGCCTGTACTGATTGATACATGGATGACGTGGGACGAGGAAAAGTGGATCAATCAGTATGATGTAACGTTTCGCTGGTGGGGCTTCTTGTTAGACGAGCTTCTAGAGAGCATACATAAGGACAAGGAAGTCGCAGAGCGCCTTGTTCTACAGAAGCTAGTTGCATCCATCTACGATACGCACACGACACATTGTACCAGATCTAATATCCAATACCCCTCACAGGACGCTTGCACGTCGTTCCTGCTCGGTGAAGTCCGCCTTAGTCAATTGTAGGAATTCGGCATGAACACAGTAATGTGTAGAGGCTTACATTATATCATGCTTAAGTTCCAGCCAGATGTGCATTGCAGCCACATCGGAAAGACTAGAGGAGGCATGTGTGAAGATGACCAGACGTATGTGGGAAAGGTTACGGAGAGCTACTTTAAGAATTCGCCGTGGATCCTAGGGAGCGTAGGGAGGATTGATGGGCAAAGATCTAGTATGAAGACATAGACGTACTATGTAATATTATATGAGTATTACTAGTAGTGCTGCCAAAATTTTGTGGTAACTATTTAATAGGTTTTCTAAACGGATGACTACCTTTTCTAAATCCATAATTAAAGACCATTTAGTAGATGATTCGACAATGATATAGAGCTTAAAGCGCGACGGTTAATATATAGGGCACTATGCTAGCTAAGGAAGCTAATGTAGTAAATGTAATATACGTAGATGGCGCG